GAATGGGCAGGCCCGTCCGGGTAAGTACCACTACCTCACAGAAGACCAGCGTATCTATATCTATATATATGGAATCTATATAATCTAATATATGGAAGTATGACAAATAGATAGACACACATAGTTAGACACACGACCTTCAGAAATGAAGAGTGCGACGAAGAAGTGGACAGGCGCCGAATACCATGTATTTATTTACTCCTGGTTGCCTATGTCACTATGGATGTAAATTATGTCTACGCAGAGAACATCGACACCTTGCACCGTTGCTTTAAAAATGTACAAACAGACAAACAATTGCAGTTATGACATTAGTTATAAGACGAGCGTTGGACTCGCTTCAAAATCAAACATAACTACCTTCAAATCATCTTAGCGCCCCAATTGTTCGCCTACTTAGCGGCCTGCGCTTTGCTAACTGCCCAACGCCCACGTAAACGCTATCGGATAACGGTTAAGTTGGGTGCTTAAGGAACTTGTTTCGTTATTAGCTTGAAGTCTGGGCTTAGAGTGCGCATTTGCGGAATCCGTATCTTGAGTGCATTTACTTATGTCGAGCCATCGCGATATAACGCTACTAGACGCGATGAATGTTCGACAACCGTTCGTTGACGAATGCCGAATATTAAAAAAATATAAGTAAATGTCACTCTACTGAACTCTAAGCGGAGATCGGAGATACTGCTTATGTGATATTCAAAATGCATCCCTGTATATATGTTTTGACATTTGGCATTTGTTGTAAAATAGGCCCTCATTAAAAACACTGCTTTTTGGAGATGATAAACGTCAGACTTGTCAGCACGTATCTTTAGCCGAATATTTATTTATTGAACCCTATGCACTAAGAAATAATCTTTGCTTGTTGTCAACTAGAATCAGAGCAACTTTTTCGGTATCACGCAAAATTTTGTCACAATACAAAGCTGTCTGATATACAGTTTGAATAAAGTGTGGTATATTTATCGAACTCCTAACATCACTAGTCGACACTATGACTATTAACTTGTCTCTATGCAGTTAAATAATCCGTTATTGGGAACTTATCTTAACTAACGTTTGTTCCTCAGTGGTTGAGATATCTGTAAAACTCTTTCTTGTTGTCTTTAAATTATCCCCTATTTATTTTATTAACAAATAGCCGAGATAAGAGAGCGGTGCGCATGCGATTCAGCCGTGATCAAATCCCCGTTAGTGGAAATAGTGTTTTAATCAGGAACTTACTTTTTGATATACCACCATACGTAAATTTCTCACATTCTTCAACAATTTGCGATAAGATATTTTGAATAAAAATTAAATCTATTACGTAAATGAAGGTTCAACAGCATTTCAAATTCGAGTCTTTCTTTTTAATAATGGCAGCTGCACTTCAGGCGTTTTAGTGACTAATTTATTAAAGCCTGACGGTAACCGTAAACCAATAATTGTATCATCATTGCTTAGTGATAATGTAGTTAACTGTGAATGCCCAGTGTCGATTTGCAAGTTCTAATCCCACTAGCTTGCAGAAATAAGGTTTTATTATTTCGGATTTTTCCACATAAAAATGTCCACTCCTCGAAATTGGGCCAAGCGTGCGACGACGCCAAATATCAAGTTTTGTGATGACGTGAAAGCCCGATCTACGCCGACAAAAGACGAGAGTTTATGTTATGCTTTTCTTTTAATCTCATCGGTATATCGATTCGAAGGTTATGAGGTCAATATCCTAGCACTGACCTACTATATAAAGGCCGATACATTATTTAAACGCTAACTTCAACAAACGACTGTCCTTTTGTAATAATTTATGTAACACGGACTGGCTATTGTTAGTTCGGACGTAAACGTCTCAGTGTGCCCTATGGCCGTGGACTTCGTTAAATATTCGAAAGGTTTAGAGTTTCAAAATTAAACGTGAAAATTATTTTTATTTTTTTTTTTTGGGAAAAGAGCAGCAAACGAGCAGGAGGCTCATCTGATGGTAAGTGATCACCGCCGGCCATGGACCCCATTTTATTCAATACCGCGTAAACAGAACATATATCTTAAAGCTTTCCCTTGCATTTTTAGGTCAAAGGGTCAAATTTTGAATGATGCCAATATAACATTCAGAGCTGATTTTTATGAGCAAATACTGAAACACAAATATATCAACTTTTTAATATGACTTAAACATTAACACAATTTTATTATTAAGGTTAAAAAAAGGTTATTGTATTAGTAATGTTTCGATGGTATATATATATAATGTATGTTGTCGCAGATTTTTAAAACATTTCTATTTACAATACTGGTATAGATAAAGTGAATTGATGTATATAATTAAAATCGGCTCCGTTTAGTCTCCTAATCGCAGACAATTAGTCACATTCCAAAGGCACAGATAAAATATTAAACAAAAAATGACTCGCGACACGACAAGCATTAGTTGCACGTTAGTATTATGTAACATGTAACAAAATGTTCGCAGATAAGCCAAATGTTTCGTGCCGCGACGAACGCAGTGTCATCGACCCATCTTGTGTGCAGTGATTGCTGCGCACAGATTAGGGTGTGAGCAGAGAGTTATAAGCCGAATGTAGGATTTTTTAAGTTACTTTTGGTGCGTTTGCGAAAGAAGTTGAGAGTGTATTTTTAGCGTGTGACGAAGATTCGATGTAACATATAATCTTTAATATAATATATATATAATTCTACTGTACCTACGTGAGTATGTCATTGAGCTCCTGCTAAACGACTGGACAGATTTTGATGTAATTTTTTGTGTCTTCAGGTCCATTTTAGAATGGTTTAGATTCACATTTTTTTTTAATTTTTATTTAACTTGTCGGATTTAAATCGTGTGTACAGGCTGCCCGGTCCGCTAGTCTTTATCTATATAATTCTTCAGTACGTGTGTGTCACAACTCCTAAACGGCTGGACAGATTTTAATGAAATTTTATGTGCGTCTTCAGGACGATTCGAGAATAGTTTATATTTACAATTCGGTCCACTACATTTGTTTTATTTATAATTTCTTGTCGGTTTTAAGTCGTGTGTACAGGACAACGTCCGTCAGGTCGGCTAGTTTAGTATAGTTTGTTGTTCTTTTTTTTTGTGAAAAGTTGTCAAGCGAGCAGCAGGCGATGATATTAAGTGGATACCGCCGTCCTTGGACATCTACACCCGAAGGTTTGTAGATGCGTTGACAATCTTTTTGAAAATTGGGCTCCGGCCACCTCACTCACTAGACGAAACGCGAAAGTATTATACTTTATATACTTTCACTTTACGCCGGTCTTCTGTGAGGTCGTGGCACTTACCCGGACGGGCCTGCCCATTCGTGCAACAGCCGAGGCTGTTGCGTGGCCCTACCACCGTATTTTTTTTCCCTCTGCCTAACATAATAATTTTTTCTAGATTTTCTGGGCCTCTTCTGTGCACTTATTTACTTACTTTCTTTGCTGGCTCAGCGAGGATCCACTGTAATTTTCTTGTCCACTTAGCAAAAGTTAATTTTAAGATTCCTTTTTCTTATAGATTTGCTTAGGCTCTACCGAGACAACGAGAACCACTCCACCAGGAGGACATAAACTCTATAGACATCTTCGTTAGACAGTTACGTTTTACGACGACGTTAAGGTACACCCGATGCGAATTAGCATTGACGACCGATAAAATGGGATGGGATGTCCATGGACATCCCACCCCAGGCCCATGCAGATTCATCGGTTTGCAGATGCGTTGACAACTTTTAAAAGTGGGCCCCGGTTACCTCACTCATCAGACGAAACGCAAAAGTTAATAACTTCCGTTCACCGGTTTTCTATGAAGCCGTGGTACTTTCGCAGACGAACTTGCCCATTCGTGCATCAGAGCTTTTGCGTGTTCCTACCACAGTAAACATTATATCGTAATGTACGTATTTTAAATATTAACTAAAGTTTACTTTCGTCTATTGGTCGTTTGCTCATTCAATGTTTGTTTGAATGCAAAAAAGAAAATTTTCTTAATTGCGCCAAAATACATAACATACGCGTACAGTAGTATGCACACACACACTTTTAACTTATAGATGCCAACATTATAGGTACTTAATCTTCTTAGATTTATGAGATGCTAACGAGATTCACCAACTCATCAGTTAAAGAAACCTTAGACTTGTCCCGCCAAGTCCACGCCGTATTACTTGATTAAACAAAAATACAGTCATTCTACACTTTGGCCAAGTTTTACATTCTCTTTGCCGCTAATATGTTATAAAGATGAATTTGCAGGATATTTGGCATGCCGCTTGCTGACGGTGGCTCGGGTTAACGGTGATACCAGATCGGTAGCCTTATCGTGAATTCGCGAGCTTTCGTTAAGAAGAAGAAGAAAAAACAAGTCGCGTTAGCAAAATAACGCGATAAAATTGTCAAGTTGGTGTTTGGAAAATGTGTAACTCTTCTGTTTATTCTTGCGTCAGAAAGACAACATTTTCTCGTTGCAATTATTTCACATGTAAGCTTTTAGGTGTAGATAACTTAGTTGATTACCTAGTTTAATTGTGTTCTTAAATGTTGCCGTTATAGAAAAATATTTGGTACCGGCCAGCAAAATAACCAGTCACAGAAAAAAAAATAATACCAGCTGATACTCACTTCGTCCTTGTGGATTTGACTTCCAAATTTAAATAAAAACATAATTGTCATATATTCAATAATTACAACAATTAGCAATATATGTTCTGAGCCCTATAATAAGAAGATAAAATTTCGGTTGAAACTATTTTTGCTTCAAATTTTAATCGAAGCTCCACGCAAGCGAAGAGCTCCTGCGCAATGCCACCGGTGCCAATTATATGGCCACTTGGCGTGCAATTGTTACACCTGACCCCGGTGCGTAAAGTGCTACGACGACCACGCAACCGCAGAGTGCACTCCCACCTGCGATGATCCCAACCCGCCCAGCTGCGTGCTGTGCGTAAATGAGGGACATCCCGCGAATTATAGCAGTTGTCCAAAAGCCCCGTGGTCAAAGCGCTCGGCTCAAAATGCTCGTAGAGGGGCGCCTCAGAGGACTTCCCCCCGCGCAACCGTCCTCCCGCAACCACCTCCCCCAGAGGTATTGGTCCCCGCGCCAGCCCCAAAGGTTAACGCATGGACTAAACCTCTGATGGTACAATGGTCGACTCCGGCCAGTATCATGACCCCCCAACCAGCAATTCCAGCGCCTTCGGCGCAAAGCGGGCAGCAGGGCGGCATAGACAGCGACATTTCCCTTGTCTGCGAACTCGCAGAGGTCGCCTCTTCATTGCATTATGATTGACCCTCCTCAACTTGTAAACATCGAAACGTCCGTATGTAGAATCTCTATGACAGGCCATCAGCCCATCACAGTAGCTTCTGTTTATTTATCACCTAATAAACACATATTAAAGGGCGACATCGAGGCACTGCTTAAATTAAGCGACTCGGTGATAATAGCAGGTGATTTAAATTCCAAGCACACTGCTTGGAATAGTTATAGTATTAACGCAAACGGACGCGCCCTGTTCGCCTTAAGCGCACAGGATGACTTAGTTTTCGACGTTGTAGGTCCTCTGGAACCAACCAGAATACCTACAATTCACAATCCTGATATATTAGATATTGCAATTCTTAAAAATGTCTCCTTACCGATTCATTCTATAGAAGTACTTTCTGAATTAAATTCTGACCATCGCCCGGTCAAGCTATTACTAGGCCGGCCAAGCACGAAGGTCCCTACAACTAAGTTCGTGACTGACTGGGATAAATTATATAAGGGACTCGAAAACGCGAGTTCACCTCACCTAGATAAAATCCCGGATAGGATAGACTCACGCGAGACCGCCCTTAAGGCGATCTCCGATCTCACATCCCACATCCAAACTGTAGTCGGTGACTCAACCGAGCGGATCGTAGTAGCGAATGATCGCCGCTTCGAATTGCCGGAGGGCCTCCGACGGCTGTTGCGGGAAAAGAACGCAGCCACCCGAGCATACGACCGCACCAGGATGCGCCGCCTCCAAAGAGAGGTTAAAGAGCGCATGCAGGAGCTTAGGGGGAAGCGATGGGACACTCTGATGGAGGATATTTCGCCATCGCACACTGCTTTCTGGCAGCTGGCGAGAAATCTCAAATCGGAAAACGTCTCCTCAATGCCTCCTCTGACCCTGCCCGATGGTAGTAAGGCGTTGGAAGACGACGAAAAGGCCGAATGCCTTGCAGACAACCTCGAGCTTCAATGCTCTCCCAGCACGCAGTCCACTAACCCCGGCCACCTACGTAAGGTGGACGAGGAAGTGGAAAGTAGATCCGCGGCTCCACCAACGGACCCGCCCCTCGAACATACTTCGGTCGATGAGGTCATGACCATCGTCAAAAACCTTAAAAAACGTTCCGCGCCCGGCCCAGATGCAATCTCCAATAGAGTAATTAAATTACTCCCTGCCCATCTCATCTGCTTATTAGTAGCAATAATTAATGTTCTTCTCGACAGCTGCACCTTCCCCGATACGTGGAAGGTAGCGCATGTCATAGGTATCGCTAAACCAAACAAGCCCAGAGACAGGCTTCGAACTACCGCCCAATCAGTCTTCTCGCTACTATGGGAAAAATATACGAACGCATCATCCTAGCAAGGATTAAAAAATGCGTTAATTCACTAAACATTATACCCGACGAACAGTTCGGTTTTAGAGCCGGTCACTCGAGCGTCCTACAAGTGCACCGCCTCACGGAGCACATCCTTGCTAGTCGCCGTTCAGCATACATGAGGAATGATAATAGGGTAGGAATTCTCTTATTCGACGTCGCGAAGGCGTTCGACAAAGTCTGGCATAACGGCTTAATTTTTTAAGCTATACTCACTAGGCATGCCAGATCGACTCGTTAAAATCATACGAGACTACTTATCGAACCGCCGCTTTCAATTCCGAGTCGATGGAACTCTCTCCCGCCCCCGCCCCCTCAGAGCGGGCACCACACAGGGATCAGTATTGAGCCCAACCCTATACTCGCTATATACAAGTGACATCCCCAGGACCCATAAGGTCGAGTTGGCTTTATACGCCGACGACACAGTATTATTCTCATCCGACCACAACAAAAACCAGGTCATTACCCGCTTGCAATCTGCACTAAACGCCATTGGCGAATGGTTCAGAATGTGGCGAATCGAGGTAAACCCGGAGAAAAGTAAAGCTGTCATGTTTAATTGCCAATCAGGCAGAAACCTCACCCCCGTTAAATTATACGGCCAACCCATTCCATGGGAAAATAAGGCCAAATACCTCGGCGTCACTCTAGACTGCCGCCTCACCTTCAAAGAACACATACAAACAGTAGTCAATAAAGCTAAATTTGTGATGTTTCGCCTAGCTCGTTTCGTCGGCGTCGGGACGTGACGACCCCATCGCCCGCTGGTGGGATAATCTTGTGACACAGATTATTCCACCAGTGCAGTCAGTCAACCCAACTAGTGGTAGTGCCATGCTGCGCACCTTCGGGTAGCAGCCGAATTGGGCCGGCACGCCCGGGGAAGAACCACTCTCTCACTAGAAACCGACGTCAAGTGGCAGCTATGCTGTCGCGTTTCGTTTGGTCTGTGAGAGTCCCGGACGCCCTCTCCCCATTCCTCCCCCATAATGTCTGCGCGAAATTTAAATTTTCTACCCCAGGAGGGTACCACCAGCATACAGCGCGGTGGAGAATCCCTCTCTGGACGTCCACGCGCAGGCCGTACAACGTCTGAGCGTGAATGCCCAGGCTGCCCTTCGTATTCTGGGGGGGGCAATTTTGCGCTCTCTATACCTGTTCGGGGCAAACGGAGCAGGCAACATAAGGCCACCTCTTCCTCGCATGCCGTGGACTTTTGCAACATAAGGGGGCTAAATTCCAACTTAAACGCCGTCCACTTCCATCTTGAGACGGCGAAGCCGGCCTTGCTCTTCCTTACCGAGACGCAGATATCTTCTCCAGCTGACACCTCATTCCTCTCCTACCCGGGGTACAAACTGGAACATTCCTTTGTGCCGCGGGCTGGGGTGTGCGTGTACGTCAGAGAGGATATATGCTCTCGTCGCCTCGATGCTCTTGAAGGACGGGACCTATCCATACTCTGGCTACGCGTAGACTGCGACGACCATCCGCGAATCTACGCGTGTCTGTATAGGTCCCATAGCGGTAATGCCGAAACTGACCGACTCTTTGAGCACATACAAATGGCTACAGATTCCGTGTTGCAGCAGATCCCATCCGCGGAGATCGTAATTCTCGGCGACTTTAACGCTCATCACGCCGAGTGGCTTAGATCTCGTACCACCGACCACGCGGGGAGATCTGCTCACGATTTCGCATTGACATATGATCTGACACAACTGGTTACCTCGCCAACGCGAATCCCAGATGTGGAGGATCATACACCTTCCCTGTTGGACCTTCTGTTGACCTCTCATCCGGACGGATACTTGGTTTCCGTCGATCCTCCCCTCGGCTCGTCGGACCACTGTCTTGTCCGGAGCACAGTGCCAATAACGCGCTTAACGCGGCCTCACTTTGCGGGCTGCCGCCGCGTATGGCATTATAGGTCAGCAGATTGGGATGGGATGCGGTCATTCTTTGCGTCCTACCCATGGGGGCAGATTTGCTTCTCGCCGGATGATCCAGACGTCGTTGCTGACTCAGTGACTGATGTGGTGCTTCAAGGTATGGAACTCTTTATTCCGTTCTCTGCAGTGCCCATTGGTGGCAAGTCGCAGCCTTGGTTTGGTCGCTCCTGTAAGTTGGCATTACGCCGAAAGCGGGAATGCTACCAGGCTTGGGCTGACGCTTCGTCGTCTAGTGATGTAAAAACCAGCGCTTTAAAAAAGACGTATAACTCTGCCTCTAGGTCCTTCAAAAGTGTTATTGCTAAGGCGAAATCGGAACACATTGGCAGAATTGGCGAGAGATTGGCGCGTCTCCCAACGGGAACACGTGCGTTTTGGTCTCTCGCCAAAGCTGTCTTGGGAAATTTCTGTAAGCCTTCTTTTCCACCCCTGCACACGGAGGATGACTCGCTGGCCCATGCCGCGAAGGAGAAAGCCGATCTTCTGGGCTCTCTCTTCGCGTCCAACTCGACTTTGGATGACCGAGGAAAATTACCACCAACAATCCCGCGTTGCGATGCTACGATGCCGGAGGTTCAATTTCGGCAAAGTGCAGTTCGCACAGCACTCTTTTCCTTGGACATTCATAAGTCGAGTGGGCCCGATGGCATCCCTCCGATCGTGTTGAAGACATGTGCTCCAGAGTTGGCACCGGTTTTGACGCGTCTTTTTCCGGCTCTCCTATACTCTAGGCGTATTCCCAAAAACCTGGAAGGCCGCTTTAGTGCACCCGATCCCTAAGAAAGGCAACAGCTCGGATCCGTCCAACTACAGGCCTATAGCCATCACCTCCTTGCTCTCCAAGATAATGGAGACCATCATTAACTGCCAGCTCCTGCGGTACCTAGAGGAGCACCAGCTGATTAGCGACCGCCAGTACGGCTTTCGTCGAGGTCGCTCAGCCGGTGATCTTCTGGTTTACCTGACACACAGATGGGCAGAAGCAGTTGAGAGCAAGGGGGAGGCGCTTGCAGCCAGTCTGGACGTAGCGAAAGCCTTTGATCGGGTGTGGCACAAAGCACTTCTTTCGAAGCTGCCTTCCTATGGGCTTCCCGGGAAGTTATGCAACTGGATCACTAGCTTTTTGGCAGATCGGAGCATCAAGGTCGTCGTCGACGGTGCATGCTCTGATCCTAAATTTGTCAATGCTGGTGTTCCACAAGGCTGCGTACTGTCCCCCACTTTGTTTCTTCTGCATATCAATGATATGTTGCAAATCAGAAGCGTTCATTGCTATGCGGATGATAGCACTGTGGATGTTTCGTACACAGGCCGTGCTAACATTTCTCGGGAAAACGTCTACGAGAGCCGGAACAAACTTGTGTCTGAAGTCGAGACTTTGTTAACAAAAGTCTCAGACTGGGGTCGACTAAATTTAGTCCAATTCAACCCCGATAAGACACAAGTTTGCGCGTTAACCGCTAAAAAGTCCCCATTTGTCGTGACTCCTCATTTTGAGAACACTCCCCTGTCTGTCACAGCTAGTATCGGAATACTTGGCGTCGAAATCTCGAGCAATGTCCAGTTCCGCGGTCAATTGGAAAGTAAGGCCAAATTGGCCTCAAAGAAGCTCGGTGTGCTCAGCAAGGCGAGACAGTACTTCACGTCGGCTCAACGCCTAAACCTTTATAAGGCGCAAATTCGGCCCCACATGGAGTACTGCTCTCACCTCTGGGCGGGAGCCCCCTGTTACCAGCTTCTTCCATTTGACCGCATCCAACGTAGGGCAGCTAGGGTTATCGACGATCAAGGTCTTTCCGATCAGCTTGATCCTTTGGCTATGCGTAGAGATGTTGGGTCACTCTGCATCTTCTACCGCATCTATCACGGGGAGTGTTCCGAGGAATTGTTTGGATTGATCCCAGCGGCTGAATTTCACCATCGGACATCGCGCCAAAACCAAAAATTTCATCCACACCACCTCGATGTCCAGCGTTCCACAACAGCGCGATTTTCAAGGCATTTCCTGCCTCGCACAACCACTCTGTGGAACCAGCTGCCGCCGGCGGTCTTTCCGAACCGTTACGACCTGGGAACCTTCAAGAAGAGAGCGTACTCATTCCTAAAAGGCCGGCAACGCATTTGTAAGCCCTCGGGTGTTGCAGATGTCCATGGGCGGCGGTGATCACTTACCATCAGGTGAGCCTCCTGCTCGTTTGCTGCTTTTTTCCCATAAAAAAAAAAAAAAAAAAAAAAAAAAAAAAAGCTCCTCTCACTAGAGCGACAAGTAAAATGTCGCTAAAACATAAAATACATTTATATAAGACCTGTATTCGCCCCATTATGACATACGCGAGTGTTTGTTCGCGCATATACCTCCTAATAGATTAAAGCCATTACAAATAATTCAAAACAAATTTCTTCGACACGCACCGTGGTACGTGCGGAATGCCGATTTGCATCGAGACTTAAATATAACATCCCTGTCCACCCTCTTTAAAGAAGCGTCGAAAAGACACTTCAAAAGCATTAACGCCCATACAAATCCGTTGGTGAAAGCTTTCGGAATCTATCCCGCACCCCCTCGGACCGTGCATTCGAGACTACGCCGTTATAGATGATCCAGACGACACACTCACGCGCGCGATTAATATATTTAATATTCAGCCGCCGCCCGAAAACGCAACGGCGCTATGTCTAAACAGCATAGCACGGTCAGAGGCGCTCAACGAGGCGCCACGTAGCCGCGTCGACATAACGCCTAACGAGGCGCCACCCGCCGCGATCCTCCCGCGCGCAGTCCGTCACATAACACACAATGCACTAACATACAGACATATGGCTCAGCGCAATCGACGGCGATTGCGAGGTCCCAGATTCACGGCCTACACGCGATATACTCGGGTGCCTGGTCGTTTTTGAATCATTACGTCGTGTTGTCATTGTCATTTAATTACGAGTGTATGGGCGCTCGTAATTGCTGCGTGATTAATTGTATAACCTTTATTTTTTGGACGATGTTTTCGTGAAGATTAAGTCTATTCCAATCAAGATTTCACACACAGAAAAAAATTCTAAAAACGGCCCTTTATGATTAGACATCTTAAAATGGCAGATTTTCATTTAAACTTGGGTATTTATTTTGAAATCACAAACAGACGCTTTAAATGGAATATTGGAATGGCTGGGTATATTAAAATCGAAGGATCGAATTGAAGCATATATTCACGTTTCGCCATTGACAGCTTAATAATAAGATATAGGCAGTTATTACGGTGTGGCTTTACCGATTTCGCAAACACTTAACGGAAACATTTCGTGTTCAGCATAAAACTAAACTTCGACACGACAGTTCTTTCCACTCACTTTATGGATGATGTTAAATACATTAACGCAACTCACTGGTGTCCTAACGGTAGCGGGTTGGATTACTTGGGTGATTCGTTTGTAAAATTAGACATAGACATAGACTTTATATAATCATAAGTCTAATTTGAAAAGAAACACACAGCAACAACATTCAAAATAAATGACTTGAAAATAACAAATTAAAAAATAAAAACAAAACATCGTTTCAAAAAAATACAAATTAAAAAAAGAAAAATAAATTGCCTAATTTGATGTGATTCAGACATGTTATGTTTCCGCCTAAGATTAAATCGCTATTTTGAAAGCGGCTCGCATTGATTGCCCGTCTTTTGTTCGATATATTCGTATTACGCGCTTTTTCTTTAACGGTGGTAGGGCCACGAACCAGCCTCGGCTGTTGCACGAATGGGCAGGCTCGTCCGTGTAATACCACGACCTCACAGAAGACCGGCGTAAAGTGGTAGTTTAATACTATTAAAATATGTAGAAAAAGTGCGAAAAGATTGTCGCCGCTGTGGGAATCGAACCCACGTCTTCGGCATTCGCGGCCTG